AACTTTATAATTAATTCTTTTTATATAGTATCAACAAAAGAAATTACAACTTCAAATATCACGTGGAATCTGTCAATTAATAATGATCTCACATTAGACAATGTCACTACTATGCTAAACAGTAATCAGCAATAATTTCTGTTTCGCCTGTTTTCTCTGTTTCACCTGTAATTTCTTTAATGTCTATAATTTATTTTATTTCTTCTTATTACTTTTATAGTTTATATTGTTTTATTATATTTAAGTATATTTTTATTGAAATATATATTTATATTTAGTTAATTTATAGCATAGTAAGTAGTTAGCTGTAGCAAATTAATTTTATATAAATAGAATAGCTTTTTGCTTAAATTGTAAATTAACTCTTTTGTGAGTTTATTAATTCATTTGTAAGTTACTTACGAGTTTCAATAAAAGAATCAATCTAAATCTATACAAATTTACTTTTTCCTTTTAACGTTATCCTTCACCTAATATTGTTGTGATGTATTATACTAACTTGCTATTGAGTTCATTATTATGAGTTCGATTAAATATATCTTAAATTCTAAGACGTAATGAATTGTCAAGTTGATTCAAGTATAACGGATATCTGTAGAACTCAAAGAAAATCCTAAGGTCAGAAACTTCAATGTGTAAAATTAGCTACTGTAGTTGCTTAACTTAGATGTTAAGATAACTAGAATCCAGTAATGATGCCTTAAAATTTGATTGGTATTTGATAATTATTTTTATAAAAATTTTAAAAATTTTGAATAATTGATCATATATAATTATTTTTATAAAAAATAATTATTAAAATATATTCTTTTAGATATATAATTTCATAATTCGCACTGATTTATAAAACTTTATAAAGCAGTTTTAAATTATTTTTAAATTAAATTACACTTTTTTTACATTTAGTAATAACAACTTCAAAACTAAAAACTAAAAACTTATCTTGTATATTTAATTATGTATATCATTAGTAAATATTCAGAAAGTCAATTAATACAATGTGAAATTAAAGAAAATTAAAGATGGTAATATACATCAATTGGAATAATAAAAAATAAAATTACAATTTTATTTAAGTATTTTTTTTGAATTAAATTTGTTACTTAATTTTTTAGAAAATTACTCTTTATGTAAAAAGTATTATAATTAAATTATTATTAGAGTTTCTTTTATAAATCAATTAAATCAGCTAATAATTTAGATTTTGAAGAAAAAAATACTTTCTGATAAATAATAATAGTGAATTACAAGTTTTTTATGATTTTAGAATTTAAGTATCTTTATCAGATCCAGAATATGAAAATTTTTAAATCAAATTAATGAATTAAAATATCTTAAAAAACAATTATTATCTAAAAATAAGCAGATATTATTTGAAAAAGTGCAGTTAATATTTGAGAATAAAATACTAAAGAAAAAGCTAAATAGTAAATATAATAATCAATAAGATCATATTGAAACTATAATAAATATTACTAAAAAAAAGAGATAATTTATATAATGATATAATAAATTTAATAAAAGATTATGAAAGATTTTAATTAGGTAGTCTTTTAAAATATTTTCCTTCTTAATAGCTTATTAAATAAAATTTATTTATTATAAATTTTATAAAATTTTCACTTATAATGAAAATGAAAATCAATATAAAGTGAAAAATTATTTAAATATACTATTGCTGTTGATGTAATTTATAAAATAAAATATTTAAAAATATGTATCTGCCATCAATTTAGTAGTATTAGTAATCAAATATTCTATCACAAAATCAAAATCAATTATTGATATTGATAATCATTTTATAAGTTTCAGAGGTTATATTAAATTTATTAAATAGCAAGAAAATTTAGTTGGTAAACCTTAATCATTTCCAAGTAATTTAATATTTATAGCATTTGATAATAAGTAAAAGGATCAAAAAATTATTTAGATTGTGATATAATACAGTTATTTATCATACTATTATAAGTTTATTTTATTTAATTATGATTCTATTAATCAAATACAAAATTTTTCTCTTAATTTATTATAAATTCAAAATTTATTTGATTTCACTTTAAAAATATAAATATTAATTGACTAATAATTTTACAATTATCTTTTTAAATTTTAACTAAAATATGTATAAAAAAAATGAAAATATAAATGCTATTGATTATTTAATAGCCAATCAGAATATAAATATTGATAATCAAAAATAATGTAATGAATGTGATAAAGATGAAATTAAAAATTTAAAACATAAATGTCTACTGTATAAAATAAAACTTCTTATGTTTGCTAAAACTAAATAAGAAATTAATCAAACAATGCTTAAAAAAAAGATATAATCAAATCTTTAATCATTAAACCTTATCAGTTTAAAATGAGTAATTCTAAAAAGTTTATAAATCTAATCAATATAATTTAAAGATCTAAACTCTAAAAAAATATTAATATACCTGATATTTTTATTTCAGATACTTTACCAATAAATCTAAACTTTATTAAAATATTTGAAAAGTCTTAGATTATATTAAAGAAATCAGTAAAATTAACAAAGATAAATAAAAATGAATTGCGGTGATTTGTAATAGAATTCTTTACCATTATACATAAAAATTCAAAGATAAATATCTAGAAATTCTCTTAATATTCAGTTTACTTTATGAAAAGATGAATATACTAAAAACTTTTGTGAAGTTAAATTGGTAAGACATTGTTAGTTCTGAATTGTTTTAAATAAACCTAATCCTATAATTTCATAATATAAAATACAGAACTATTGATCTATAATATTTTGCATAATGTCAAGGATATAAAACTAAAATCAATTAGATTATTTTAAAAAATGTGTTAATTATCATAATGCATGGGATTCAGTTTGTAATATTTATCAGCACATAATAGTTTTAGAATTAATTTAACCTTATATTATTTCAGACTTTATTCTAACTGTTGATAGGTATTTTAATTAGCTAAAAATCAAATAAATAAATTAGATAAATTAAAATATAAACAAGTACATTGCTATATTGATAATTCATATTACAGGTATTTAAAAATTTATATTATTAATACTTAATTTTTAAATTTTTTTATATTTACAAGTTATAATAAATTTTTGTGTTAGAGTTAGATTTAATCAGCCTTTACTTAAATTAACTGTACATAGAGTATTTATTTCTATTTGGTCTACTAGATAACATCCTATTTATTAAGAAATTGAAATAATTGATGAAGAATAACTAATGTGCCTTTACTTTAAAATTTAAAAACTTATTAAATTATATTCAGTTATATCATAATTAGAATAGTTAAATAAGCATTAATAATTAGATACTGTACTTGAAAAAGTAAATAAAATGCTGAAAATACTTATCCTATTTGTACCAACTCAAAAGTATTAAGAAATAGCAGCAAAAAATTGTTTAACGTATAAATTATATTAAAAAAAATTAAATGCTATAAAACTATTAATTACCTATCTAATTCCTATTACTATTGATGAAGTACAAATACAATTAGCTGAACATTCAATAAAGAAAAAGGAACTGATATTTGTAATTGAATTATTAATTAGATTCTTAAATGAAACTAATTGGTTATAATTTTAAGGGTTAAGTTCAAAAAGAAAAGATAAACTATTAGTTATTTTATAATAAATTTAATATTTGATTAACGGTAATAAAATAAATTAAAAAACAAAAATTGAAAACTTTAAAATATTAATAAATATTTATATATAAAAAATTTTAGATTTCTAATTTATAATAATTTTTAGATATTATTACTATTTTGATGCTTTTTAAAGTAACTTGACCAAAAAATTTTGCCTCTCTCTTTTAGCATTTTTAGAGATTTATTCATGTGTAATGTATAGAGTAATTTCTTTTGAACCTGAAATTGTAATTTTATTAAAATTTTATTAGTTATTGTAGCATTATATAATGATTTATAGCTAATAAAATTCTGTATTATTGAATATTGATCAGTTTTCTAAAATGTTAATTATTAATGATCATTTTTATATTCAGAAATTCCATATATAAAAAACACTGGACTGTATAATTTTATATATTAATAATAATATTTATTATGATATTAATAATAAAAATTATTTTATATATTATAAATAATTATTATTATTAAATATTTGTTTTATAATAGATTTATAATTATATTATAAAAATAATAACTAATATAATTATTTGTTTTAAAAATTTTTGATATATAAATCAATTTAATTTTATTTATTAGAAGTTTTAATTATTTTATTATAAATCATTTTATATAACTTTAACTCTATATTATAATTTTTTTTTTATATGATATATAAGATCTTTAAGTTTTTATTTTAATTAATAATAATAATAAAATACTTTTTTGCAATTAAAGATGATATTTTTAATTTTAATAATAAAAATCTATTGTGTATATCAAAGTTACTTAGTAGTTTTTTATTATATATTAATGTTAATATCAAATTTAATCAAATCAAATTTAAATTTATTAAATTTATAACAAATTTAATTAGAATCTATTAGATTTAGATTAGATTTAGATTTAACTGAATTTATCAAATTTAAATCTAATTTTAAATATTTCAAATAATTCAAATTATAAAATAAAATCTAATAAAAATAGTTAATTATTTTATTATTCATATATTTATTTGTAATATAATATATATCTAAAAAAGAAAAAGATATATATTTAACCTTATTAACCTTATTTTAATTTTATACAGTATGTTAATTTAAAAAACAATTATAATATTCAAGACTTTTTTTTTTATTTTAATATTATTATTTCTTTAAAAAAGAAAAATTTTATATCAATATAATTTTGGCAATTAATGTTAGTCTAAAAATAAATTGGATTAAATAAGCAGTTTTTAGGGGCAGATTTTGATAAATTGAGATCATCGACACTGCACGTTCTACTTTACTAGCAATTTTATCTCGCGTATTGATCATATTGATAATATTTTTTTTCACGGAAAACTAAACATATCCAAGATGTTTCATTCAAAAAAGCAAAAAAAAAACGTGATTAAAAAGGATAATAAAAATGTATCGACAAAGTTCAATAAAGCAAAGTTAACCATAGGTTCTTCTGTGGAAGTTAAATCGCAAGGGTCAGCCGATTATTGTCTGTATCAAAGTCAATGTCGTTTAAAGGCAGCCTGGGCCAATATTATTAAACGATATAAAGACATTTCAGCCGAAGAAACTGATGTGATAGACTTGGCAACCGAAGAGGTTGTTGTTGATAGAGGAATCTTGCAAAAAGGTACTATACGTTATGTTGGAACTTTATCAAATTTACACACTTCGAAATTTACACAAGAAGACGCAGATGATGATACCGTTTGGCAACCAGATCCAAATTTGTATGAAGATGATAATTTTGAAAAGCGAGATTCTATAAGGAAAAGAAATAATAAAACTAGCGATAAAACTGATAATATAAATATAATAAAGATGATCTTAGAAGCATCAAATGAAAGTTCCAAATGTTCAGAATCAGAATCTAATGAGATCTCTTGTTATGAGGAGTCATCTGGAAACGTGACAAATATGGAAGAAATATCCGAAGCTTTTAACAACGATGATTCATATTCTAAAAGAGAATTATTTGTAACTCGGGATGAACAATTGGATTCTGAAATTGCTTCGCCTGTTGATACAATCTCGTCGTCACAAAGAACAGAGAGTATCACACAATCAAATCAAAGTCGGCTTAAAATATACAGTTTCGATACGTTTGATTCGGGACATGATTCTGAATTCTATGATTCAGATGATGAGGAGATGTGTGCACAACTGGAAAGTTTCGATTATGTTCAGCAAGAGACTATGGACTTTGCACTAAACTATTATCAAGTAGAGCCTATAGATTATTCTCAACAAGAGACGTTTCAATTCCCTCCAATTTCACTCACTAAGGAACAGCAACGTCTTTGGTTAGGTATGTCATTATTCATTTTAATTCTCTTAATTTTCTTATTTTCTTACGTTGAAAATTTTAAATAATCAACAGAGCCGGCATCTGAAGATTATGTCGAACTATCAACTTGGACTGGAACGTATACGGGATTTTTAAACTAGTTGAATTTTAAGTGAATGTAAAAAAAAAAAAAAAAAAATTGTATAAATTATTTAATTTTGTGATCGGCTCATGATCCTGTCGTACAAATGTACAATATAAATTGTCTCATTGGTCTATCTGACTATTGACCATAAAAAAGCTTTTTTTTTTTTCATCTCGCACTAAAAATTCATTGTATAGTGAATTCTTATTCTTATTTTTATTTCTCAGGAACTTATAGTCAACGCAAATAAAAAAGTTTATATTTTATTTTATTGTTTTTATTTTTATTTTTTTGGTCTTTTGTCAGCTATTAAAATGGGAGAAAATCCACAGTTTACCCAACCATGGTAAAGATTTTATAACAAATTCGTATCATTTTTTTTTTCACTTAATTAACTCTTGTTCTTTTAGGCCTTATCCCTATGATCAAAGTCAGCAACAATATTTGGCACCTCCTGGAACACAAACAGCAGATTACTCTAACTATTACTCTGCTGCAGCTGCTTCTCAACCTTTTGTTCAGTATCAAACCCAATATCAATATTCTAGCACACCTGTTAACGCTTATACAAACACGGTTAATGTTTCTACAGTGTTTGGTCCTCCAGGGGTAACACCACAACCAAACCCCTCAGCTTTTCAGCCTAATCCACCAGGTGTAAATGCAAACACTTCGTGGTATTCTTCAGCAGCATTATCTGCTCCCGTACCTTATCAAACTAACATTTATCCTACAGCTTCATACGATCCTAATCAATATTATCAAGCGCAATCATACTCAAATTATCAGGTTCAAGCAGCTTCGTATCCTACTTTCTCAACAGTTTCCGTACCTCCTGTTACCGCTAATCCGATAACAACTCAATCATCGTGCGTATACTTTTATTTTTTTTTTTTTTTATAATTAATCGATCTTTGCTGATCTAATATTATCATCATTATATAGTGCTGCACCCATTGCCGAAATAATTCCCACGACAAGCAAGACTACCACTAATAATGTTAGTCAAGGTGAAAAGCCGAATACAAACGACGTTCAACAGACTGCTTCTGGAATAGCAAACTTGAACGTAAATCCCAATAATAATATTACAGGAACCGAAGATGCAAAATCAAGTAAATAATTGGGCTTATAAAAAAAAAAAGTTGGATATCTCTATATTAATGTGGTAAAACTTTTTTTAAAATTTTTAATTATTGTAGAACCATTATACCGTTCAATAAAATTGCCAAGAGGGAATACAAATAAATCTTCTACCAAGATTAATCCGTTGCTAAGTCCGAAATCAGAACCTTCAACACAAAATCCATCAGAGTACGTTATTTAATGATCTTAGTACAATAGAAATATTATATGTAAAATAAACGTTTCTTTTAAATTCTTTCGTCAATATATAGGAAACAACCGGAGAGTAGAGAATGGCCTGAAAGTTTGAAGTAAACATTTATTTCAAATTTTTTTTTCTTTTATTTGGAATATATTTATTTATCAATAACATTATAATTCTTTAACAGAGATTATGTTCAGAGAAGTTTCAATGCTGCACCACACAACATTGATGCAATTGAGAATGAATTAAAAAGAATAATTACGACTAAATTATCAGAAGGCGAGTTTTATCAAACTGATTGGACAAAAGTAGAATTACCGAAAAGTTGCAGGTATGTATTATTAATTTTATTATATTAAAATATTACACACTAATAATTGGTTATTGACAGCGTAACTAAAGAAAAGGATAATAAACGAAGATTGTAAGCATATGAAATTTTTATTGAGACTTTTTAATTAGTAAAGTATTTTACGAATATGTAATTTCATGAACGTCTAATTTTAACTTTTTTAGCTTTAAATCTTCTAGTCGCTCTCCGGAGAGAAGTTTGGTTGAAAATGATCGTGAATTTCAAAAGAGAGAAAAACGTGCCAAACGTTTTCAAATTGATAAGAATATTAAATCATGGGGATCTCCTTCCGCAGTATGTTTTATGCGTTTTCATTCAAAAGTAATAATAATAATAATTATAATAAAATTTAATACTTATTTTTATCCTATATATTTTATAGGAAAACGATCCTATGATTACCGATTTGGATTATACCATTGTTGGAACCTGTCAGAATCTTGAAAAATCATATTTAAGATTGACTTCTGTGTGTACAGTTATTTGGTCTTATCTCACAGAAATTTTCTTTTCTATAATTTTCAGTTTATTCTACTAACTTTAATTATATGCCGATTTTAGGCTCCTGATCCGTCTACTGTTAGGCCTAAACGCATATTGAAGAAGACTCTAGAATTTTTAAAAGAAAGATGGGTCAGAGAAGAGAATTATACTTATATATGTGATCAGTTCAAATCTTTACGACAGGACTTAACGGTTGGTTAACCTTCTTTACTGTTTAATTTTATATCATCTTTAATAAATATTTATAATATATCCAAGGTTCAACGTATCCAAGATGAGTTTACTGTAAGAGTTTACGAGACTCATGCTCGTATAGCGCTTGAGAAGGTTGATATTTAATATTTTATATTACAAAATTTTTTTCAATTATTATTCTAATTATTATCTGGCTAATAATATAGGGCGATTTGGGTGAGTATAATCAATGTCAAACGCAACTAAAGGAACTTTATAGGTTAAATATTCCAGGTCACGTTATGGAGTTTATGGCTTATCGACTCCTATACTTTCTATATACAAGAAACCGTTCTGGTAAAAAATTATATATAATGTTGCGTTTCAATTGTTTTAATGAGTATGTATTCATAAGCTTATAATCTTTATAAAAAAAAATTAGATATAAATACTTTAATCGCAGAATTAACAGATGAAATGAAAAGAGATGAATCAATAAAACATGCATTAGAGGTTAGATCTACTCTGGCTACTGCCAATTATCATAAGTTCTTTAAATTATTCCGTAAAGCACCTAATATGGGAGCTTATCTCATGGATCATTTCGTTGAAAGAGAAAGAATAGCCGCTCTAATAGTATTATGCAAAGCGTACGTATATTATGAAGTAAATATTTACCAATATATAGCGATTTAAATTACTGAAATAATTATGTTTTTTTTTTTAATATATAGTTTCCGGCCTAATCTTGACCTCGAGTTTATAAGTTCTGAGTTAGCATTTAAAGATCATGAAGAATGTAAAGAATTTCTTAGTACACATAATGCTTCTGCTTTCATGAATCCAAATAACACTTTAAACACTAAAGACGCTTACAAACATATTGAAGCAAGTGGCAAAAAGTTTGAGAAAGTTGATATCAAAGGACAAATTTGAGGAACGATTCTTTTTTTTTTTTGTTGTCAATATTTAGGCGAATGCAAAACACTCAATTTCTTACAATTGGGAAAGCTAACATATATCCGTGAGATTTCAGTCTTAATCAATTGGATTAGTCTATTTATATTTGTTATTTGCTTTTGATAACCGTTTGATTTATAGATTTTATGTCTTTTATACACACATCTTAACATACACTATTTATGGTAAAATTTGGATTTGCCAACTGATAAAAGAAAAATTATCGAAGAATCAAAAAAAAAAAAATAAGAAAAAAAAAAATTAAAGAAGATCAAAAATTCTTTAATTCACATACATTGTTTAATAACAATGGATATTGGTTGGATATTGGTTTTGTTTTTTATATTTAGATGTGAATTAACACTAATTTTTTAATGCAAAGTGTAATAAGTGGAATTTTATATGTATTTATAATAAAAAAAAGTTTAAATTAAAAAATAGATTGTTATTGATTAAGTATTAAAATATTTATTATTATAAAAAAAATTTTAAATTGAAATAGATGTAAGAGAGTATACGAAAATAATTTCCAAATCAAAAAAATATATAATTTGTAATTAGCAAATTTCATCATTATTGGATTTTCTTAAGAAGCTTCGGGAAAAGGTAATAAACAAATTTCGTAAATAAATATGGTAAAAAATTATTTTCATTCATCCCAATTCGTTTATTTATTTATTTCACTAAAACAGAATTACTTAAAGGCAAACAAGGATAGAAAAACTAGGTTGATTAACATTTTGAAAAAATTAGAAACCTTGAACTCTTCAAATATTCTCTATAAAAAGGGTTCATGGCTGTGATCTGTGAGATTGTTTCTTGAAGAACAATGGATTAATAAGAATGAGCTTATTATTTCAAATGCTGAAATTTTGGAAAGAAGTGGACTAGATAGATTAAGATGGTCTTATTTCATGGCTGGAAGATTTTTTTTCTGAAATACAAAAATTAATTGATTTTATAATGTAATAATGATAAATGTTTCAAATTGGAATAATGACCATTTAAAGTACGTATTTCCGATCATTTCCATATTTCTTATCATTTCATTTATTATAATGATACCTTTTATATTCTTTCTTTAAAAAAAATGATGGTATATAGTCGGAAAAAGTGAGCGTACTTTGTATCCAATAGAAAGAAACAAATTTTTAATCTAAAACTTGAACATTTAAGATGTAATGTAGACCAATGGTAAGCCGATTACCAAAACTATTGAACCCCTGCAATTCGTTTGTACGTTATGTTCCAACTTTTTTTCTCTCTCTTTTTTATTTAACACTTTGAAAACGATGTCAGATAGGTATGTATTATAAAAGAAGAAAAATGATATACTTGACATTTGTAATATTAACTTTCTACATTTGTACAGTGAACCTGAAACAAAAACTTTTATCCTTCGTACTGGTAAATACATAAAAGTTATATTTTTATTTTTTAAGAAACATTTTGTTTAAATAATTTCTTGATTCTTAATCTTTTATAGCTGGCTTTGACGCTCGCTTTCCAAATACCAATCAAACCAAACATTGTTGGCAAAATTACGTAGATTATTTTAAATGTATTAAGGCACGTGGAGAAGATTATGCTCCTTGTAAACAATTCTTTAGAGCTTATCATAGTTTATGCCCTAATGACTATGTAAGTTACTAGTTAAATTACTCAATTATCGTTTAGAAATATTATTTTAGAAAGTATTTTTAAAGAAAACTGAGAAAACTAACAGTTTTATTTGATAATAATTAATTATTAAGATTTCACACTGGGATACTCAAAGAGAAGAAGGAAATTTTCCCGTTAATCTTGAATCTTGATAAAATAGTTGATTTTATTCTTTCAACTAGACGAATGATCACAAACATTTGTTAATTGAAAGCTTTTATAAAAAAAATCCATTTTAAAATAAACTTGATTCTTTTTTTAAAATTATTTTGATTCATTTAATTTTGGCCAAAAAGGGAATTGCGTTTTTATCAAGTGATGATCTAAAGTATTGTCAAATAATAGTATGCAATCTGCTAATAATTTATTGGATAATCGCAACACATCATCATTACGAATTTATTTAAATGAAAGGGCTTTTTTACTCAAACCTTTGCCTTCTAGATACGAATTTAACATCTCTTTTTATTGAAAGTCCGAATACTTTTTTTTGCCCAACTTAAGGTTTTAATATATTAAAAATGAATATTTTTCGGCTTGTGGCAGATTTAATGCATTTGGCTTCTATTTTTATTTTATTATTAAAAATTCAAAAGACGCGATCATGTGCTGGTAAGTTATCCCTCTCTTTAATTTCTCGGAGGCAAAAGAAGTTATTTTTGGAATTTCATGAGAATTTAATGGATAGAATAACATACTATTATGAGAAATATGATTTTACCTAGAGGCTTAGATCTTGATTTTAGAAACGAATTCTCTGTTTAAATTTGGTTTTTAAATAATTTACTTAGGAACATGATTTCTCATTTTCAATATATATTTATTGTCTTTTTATTAGGTATCTCATTTAAAACTCAAGCGCTTTATGCTGTTGTATTTATAACAAGATATCTTGATTTATTTTCATCATGGGTTTCATTGTATAATGCATTGATGAAAATATTTTTCATTGCGTCATCAATCTACATTTTATATTTAATGAAACTCAAATTTCGAGCTACGTATGATCCAATGTTGGATACTTTTAGAGTAGAATTTTTATTAGGAGGATGTTTATTATTGGCTCTTATCTTTAATTATGATTTCACATTTATGGAGGTAAAATTTAGTTAAATTTTTTTTTTTTTTATTACTTGGACAAAGATTTCAAGTTAACTTTTTTTTTTTCTTTCATCGCTTTTAAAGATTTTATGGACTTTTTCGATTTATCTTGAATCAGTTGCAATTCTTCCACAATTATTCATGTTGAGTCGTACAGGAGAAGCTGAAACAATTACTACACATTACTTATTTGCATTAGGAGGATACAGATCGTTGTATTTATTGAATTGGTTATGGAGATTTGTATTTGAAGGTCATGTTGATTGGATCGCATGGGTTGCCGGTGCTATCCAAACTGCTTTATATAGCGACTTCTTTTATATTTATTACACAAAGTAAGTATTTATGTTCTTGTTTTAGAAATCAATGTATAAATATAATTTTACTGATGATGATTTCTTTATCATACATATTTACAGAGTATTACATGGAAAAAAATTCGAATTACCCCAGTCAGTATAAATAAAATAATTTAATGTTGGCATTTATTTATTTATTTTTTTTTTTTTTTTAAAAAAAAAAAAAAAGGAGAGAAATATATATATAATTAACAAAAAATATTATATTTCTAGGGGTGTTGTATAAAAGAATTTTTCAACGAAAGTCTATGCCTCCCCATTAGAAAACTCGTTAGCATGCTTTTTTTATTTTTAAGCTTTGGTATCGATTTTTTTTCTTGAATTTTTCCTAAAAATTGTATTTATCAATGAATTAGTATATTATTTTGTACCTTTTTTTAAAACATATGATTTGGCGTAATTATGAAAACGAAGTGATGTCATGAATGTAGTTATGATGATGAATTATTTACGCCACATCTCTTATATTTTTAATATAATAAAGTTTTTTTTAAATCCCAATTGAGATTTCTTTTTTCAAAAAAAATGATTATTAAAAATTATTACCAAAGTTTTTATTTTAATCGGATCAATACAAGAAAATCTATTACTACGAATTTAATTAAAAAAAAGAATACCAATATCAATGATTTATTAATTAACCGGAGAATTATTATTGATCATTATTCAAGTAAGGGACATGAACCTCCACCGGGATTTGATGCAGCTATTGCTGAAATTGAGAAAAATGATAGTAAAAGTAATGAACGAGAACATGATCCGGATGATGCCCCTACTGTAATTGATAGTCAAGCTCCTGCTGCTTGTAATTAGTTTTTTTTTTTTTTTTTGACTTTTTTTTTGATTTCTGAATCAATTATAACATTTTATTTTTTATTTTTTTATTTTAGCTGAATCCGCTCATACTACTTCAGAAATTTTCGATCCAAAACAAAATAAATTTGTCGAGGAAAATTTTAGTAAAAATGATGAAAATGTTGATCCCATTACGAAATTACCAAGTACACAATCCGGCGGATAAGAATTATTTTAATACTTATTTTAATTAAAAATTTCAATACACGAATTATAACGTTTAATATCTCCACTTTCTTAAGCATTCAAGTATTTTAAAAGTATTCTCGGTCATCAAATATATATATATTTTTTTTTTAAAAAAAAAAACTCGAATGGAATAATTTCTTGCCAGGATAATAAAACAGTAAATAATAATAATAATAATAATGAATGTTAATGTTAATGTTTATGTTAATGATAATAATAATAACAATTAATAAATAAGTCTATCTATACAACTCGATAAATATATATAAAATTATTGTAATTTTGAAAGTGTTTTAAAAATATAATATAAGAATATATAATAATGTGTGATAAAAAAAATTAAAAAAATGGATGATGTACATATGAAGTATACATAATGATATGTAGCAATGTAATCAGTAATAATATCTACACGTTCCAATACATGAATAAAAAAAAAATAAGAAATAAAGTTAAATATATTACCACCACATTATTAATATTACCTCTATAGCCTAATAAAATCCTTACTTCCCTCTGTAAGATAATACATTTGTCATAAAATATTTATTTTACTTTTTCCCCATTGAAAATATATATTTCTTTTTAACATCATTGATCTAAAGAAAGTAACAATTTTGTACCAAATTTTAATGCTTTATTAAAAGTAGCTTCATCATTTAACCTTATGAATTCACCATTATCTTTATATTTCAAATTATCAAGTTCACCGAAACGATCTTGTAGTTTCTTTTGAAATTTTGAAAAATTCATATCATCCTTACTAAGAAGGATGGCATATAAATCCCCACGATGCTCTATCTTAATTTTTAACCCTTCTAATCTATGTGAAGATCCTTGTGTATTTGTATGGGTTAATGGGGCTGTTGAAATTGCATATGAATTATCATTTGAATTTGTAGGAGTATCATCATGAACACGCGATGATTTTATAAATTGACCTCCGGCGGTAAGTGAAGAAACCCTATGATGTTTCATACTTCCATTTGAAGAAGGTTGCTTTTTGGGTTGATGAAAAGCATTCGAATATGACATTGGAGGGGTCGGATCAATTGGAGAAGTGTCTAGACTTGATAGAGAAATTCTTTCATTTGTAACGATCTCTCCCGGATCATTTGGATTATCAGTTTCCACATCATCATTTTTTAATCCAAACAAATTATTAATTAATGGATTCAATAATATATATCTTGGTAAACATAATAACTCTTTAACGTAGGCATCTAAATCAATTCTTCTTTGAGATGTAATGCTTTCATTAACGAATGAAAGTGGCCCTGGCATAAATGGTAAAATGCGTTGCTTTCCTGTGCGTCCTGCTTCTTCTGGATACCTATTTAAAAGTTCTATTTGAAATTCATAAAAATCTTCATATACTCTGTATAAGTACCTAAACCTTCCTGTAATCGTTTTGACCCTAATCACAAACCAATATCTATCATCCTTAAAATAGTGCGTATCAACTGAAGCTGATATCATATCAATAAAATTCTCTTCATCATCCTCCTCTTCATTTGAATAAGAATTTTCAGGACTCATAGGTAAAGTGTCGGATGCATTATCAACTGCATTCCTATAATAATCCTCATTATCGTCATCATTATTAACTTCGGGAAGAAGTGCATTGATAGAGAATTGATTATCAAAATCAAAAGACATTGGAGAATCAAATTCAAACGACATGGGAGCCAACTTTGGATCTATATTAACAGGAGCAAGTTTGGGATCCACCAACTTTGAATTTAAACGACCCAAGGAGATACTACTTTCTTCATAATCTTGAGTCATCTTTTTCCATTCTTCAACCTTTGGAACCACCGAGTTATCCATTAATTCTTGAACATTCTCTATCGCTTTACCAGTTGCATGATCCCTTATTTCAATAAAAGAAACAGGAATAAGACCGGGACCACCTAACCTTCCAATAGGTTTAGCAACGAACCATTCATGGTTCGATTGAGCGATTATGATAATTGGTTCTCCCGCTTTTGCATCTAATTCATCAGGACGTTCAGCGGCAAAATCATAAAGTACGATCCCATATAATGGTTGAGGTTTACCCCCTCCTCCTCCTCCTCCGAAATGATGATGTAATGGTGAATCGAAATAACCAGGTTCAGCTTTGACATCTCCACTCATTCTTACACCTTTTTCTAATACTTGAAAATATGAAACAGGAACCAAACCTTGCATATTGGTTGCAGGATTGCATGCTTCATACCAATCCGGATCATTATCGTTACTGATAACATGAAAGAAATCACCTTTAACAAATGATAATTCTTGAGGTCCATTCGCATCATAATCAAATAATGCTTTTATGACCTTGTTTGGAGGAAGGATTGAGGGGGCAGCTTTCATAGAAATTGCAATTGGTGTCGATATTTTATCCTTTGAAACCGACTTACGGAATTCTAAAGGCTTAAAAGTTTTAGAAACCTTAACCTTATTCATCATTTTAATGTATTAAACTGAACTAAAAACAAATTTCCAGGAAAAAAAAAGGCGAATTTGCTAAATAATTTTTAAAATAGCAAAAGAAAAAAATTTTTTAAAAGAAATATTAAATTTAGCTATACTAAAACAAGTATAGTAAAAAAAAACCAAAAAAAAGGAAAACTTTTAGTAATTCAAAACCATAAAATCTAACACAAGTATTTAACTTGAAAAAAATCTTACGTTTTTATCTCTTTTCCCTTTCTGATAATCGTAATTACTAAATAGGAATTAAATAAGCAAGCATTTGAACTGTTTAATTTATTTATGTTGTTTACTTTTTGTGTCTTTTAATTGTAAATATCAAAATTTTTGCTTCCTTTTTTAATTTTGGACAATAAAAAATTACGGTAAGGAAAAAAAATTTAGAATTACACGAACGTGACGAGGGTTTCTTTTAATATCCATTTTTTTTTTTTTTCGCCATAATCCATCCGCACACAACATTCTCTGAAAAGTCACAATGTGAAACATTGTTAAAGTTTATTCCTTTAATTTACTAAATTGGTTAGTAAACATTCACCCGACACTTGTGCAACATCCATTTTTTCAATATAAATATTCCGATAAATCATGAAACGTTATTTGTTAAAATAAAAAAAGTTAACTAATTAAAGGAATTTATCTTCTTTCCGAGATGGGATTAAAATAATAAGTTAAACGTTCGTTCTTTAGATATATGTTGAATATCAAAATTCGATTAGTCAATTTTCAGCTGTGAACATGTGATTAAATTTAAATTTATTACGAGTGCACAACAAATATTATGCCCAGAAACCTGGATCCGATCCTTTTTATGCATTAAAAATACTCAAGTTTGCTTTAAAAATTTCAAGTCAAAATTTAAATATTATCGTTATATCTACGTATTTAATATTGTCCAAGATTGTCAGATCGTCTTTTACAAAACTTTAAGTTGGTATTATTTTGATGTGTCTATTCGCATGTTTACATGCCACGTTTTTCTCGATAGTAACACAGTTTGTGGAATACATATGCTTATGCAAACAAACTAACTATTCAAAAAATCAGGCTCTTTTTTTTTTTTTTCCTCGAAAAAGCAAAACAGAAATGAACTGCCAATTTTTGGGGAAATTGTTATTTTTTTGATGTGCAGAATCTTTTTGGGGTTGGGAAATTAATCAATTGGGTTTTTATCATGTACTCATACTCCTTACATCTTTTTTTTTATTATTCTTGTTGTTTCTAAAAAAAAAAATTATAAAAGTAACCATTTCCTTTCAAATTTTATTTGTTTTAATTTATTTTATTTTATTTCATTTCATTTTTCTCCTTTGTCAGTAAAAAACAATAAGAAGAATAATAATAATATAAGAATAATTATTTCCTCAAAATTATGCCACCTCCTGATACAGAACCTCAATCACAATTAACTCATCGTCAATCCATAACCACAAAAAAATTCGAACGTGATTATGTACCACCGAATTTCACCATAAAAGAACTTCGTCAAGCGATACCACCACATTGTTTTGAAAGAGATACATTAAAATCATTTAGCTATGTTTTAAAAGATTTAGCCGTCATTGGGGTCTTAGCTTATGCTGCCACCTATATTGACTCTCATTTACCACTAGCTTTACGTTTCATAGCTTGGCCAACATATTGGTTTTTTTGTGGAGCGTTCGCAACAGGAGTTTGGGTGATTGCTCATGAATGTGGTCATCAGGCTTTCTCTCCCTCGAAAACGATCAATAATGCCGTTGGTTTTGTTCTTCATTCGGCCTTATTAGTGCCTTATCATTCATGGAGAATTTCCCATTCAAAACATCACAAGCATACTGGTCATGTGACTAAGGATCAAGTTTTTGTACCTAAAACCAGATCAAAATTAGGTTTGCATTTGCCTACTGATGATCCCGAACAGATGAATCATTCCGTATTTGAAGATACACCAATCATCACCTTATTCAATTTAATTGGTCAACAATTACTCGGTTGGCCTATGTATTTAATTTTCAATTCTTCCGGACAAGTTTATGATGATCGTTGGGCAAATCACTTTAACCCTAATTCTCCCATCTTTGATCCTAAAAATTATGTTGACGTCATCATCTCCGATATTGGTATGATCATTGCTTTATCGGCTATGGTTTATCTATCTTACGTTTATTCGTTCCTTAGCGTGGCCAAATATTATTTAATTCCTTATTTGATCGTGAATCATTGGCTTGTCTTGATTACTTTTCTTCAACACACCGATCCCAAGTTACCTCATTATCGTGAAGGTCAATGGGATTTCATTCGTGGTGCTACTTGTACAGGTTTGTTCTCGTGGGAGAGGTATTCTTTTTTTTTTCCTTTTGTCTCAGGTTACTAAACTTTTTCTTGTCTTGCAGTCGACCGTCATATTGGTTTTCTCGATTCAATCTTTCACAAAATTACTTCAACTCATGTAGCACATCATATGTTTAGTACGATGCCTCATTATAATGCCGAAGAAGCTACTCATCATCTTGAAAAAGTACTCGGTCCTTATTATATTTTTGATGATACACCTATCTTTAAAGCTCTTTGGAGAAGCTTTTCCACTTGTAAATATATTGAAGATGAAGGCGATATTCTTTTTTACAAAAATTAGAAACATATTTGGATATATAAAAAGTAGAAGTGTCATTAGAATTACTTTTTTTACATAGTCACACTATACATAATTCATTATCATCAATTACAAAAGTGCTTAAAGATTTTTTTTTTATTCATCAAAAAAGTTCGGAACTTTCAGATAAAATACAACACTAAAATGGTTTTAAGTAAGGAAATGAAGGTTCACATATTTCGAATCTAATAAAAATCCACTTTTAACAAAAAAAAATCAGTACGTGGCCTAAATTTTGGGCGCAGGTACCATTTTTCATTTGAAATTCTTTTATTATCTTCAAAGACACGATAAGAATTGTGTGAGATGTTAAATTATTTTTATTACGTATCAGAGCGGTGTATATCAATAAAGATAATATGGGTTGATTGCTAGGAAAATCAGGTTCCGGGAATTTTTTAGCGAAATTGAGATTTTTATTGCATTTTAGTTTT